GAGGAGGTGACAGCTCTGAGAGAGGAGTTGGAGAGAGAAAAAGATCAGGCAAAGGAGGAGCTGAGACGTAACAGAGAGGAGGTGACAGCTCTGAGAGAGGAGGTGGAGAGAGAAAAGGATCAGACAAAGAAGGCGCTGAGACGTAACGGAGAGGAGGTGACAGCTCTGAGAGAGAAGGTTGAGAGGGAAAAAGATCAGGCAAAGGAGGAGCTATGTAAGAGGGAACAAGCAATAATGGCTCTCAAAGAGGTGCAGAAGGAGAAGGACAAGGCACAGGAGGAGCTGAGGAAGAATAGAGAGGAGGTGACAGCTCTGAGAGAGGAGGTGGAGAGTGAAAAGTTCCGGGCACAGGAGGAGCTGAGACGTAACAGAGAGGAGGTGACAGCTCTTAGGGAGGAGATGTCTAAGGGACAAAGAGAAAAGGTGGAGGAGCTGAAGAATTTTGAGGGAGAGATAATGGTTCTGAAAGAGGAGGTACAAAAAAAGCAAAAAGAGAAAGACGAGGCCCAAGAAGAGTTCCAGAGGGAACTTAGAAAGAGGGAGGAGGAGTGGAGTTGGAAGGAGTTGAAGAACAAGAAAGTTCAGGAGTGGAAGCAGCTGGAGGAGGTGCAGCAGGAGCTGATGAGGAGCAAGTGTGAAGTGTTTGTACTTAAAGAAGAACTTGAAAAAGAGCAAAAAGAGAAGGAGGTGAAGGAACAGCTGATGAAGAGAAGTGCCAAGGTGCAGGCGGAACTCAGCAAGAATAAGAAGGAGTTGATGGTCATCACAGAGGAGGTGCAAAAAGAGAAGGAGCTGCTGAAAGAGAAGTTAGCAATTGTAGAGATGGAAGTGCTGACTTGCAGAGAGGAGGTGCAGATGGAACATAGGAGGAGTGAGGTGGAATTATCTCTACTCAGAGAGGAGGTAAAGAAGGAGCAGAGGGAAAAGCTTGAATCACAGGAGGAGCTGAAGAAGAGGAGAAACAATATCATCATCCTTGAAGAGGAGGTGAAGAAGGAGTGCAGAAGGAGAGAGGAGGTACAGGACGAACTGAGAGGAGTGCAACAGAGTGTGGATGTGATGGAGAAGAGCCTCAGCTCCCTCAGAAGTCAGGTACAGGAACAGTAAAGGTTGCAGCGGAGGAGGAGCAAGAGGAGGTGATATGAAACGGTTTGTTCTGTTTCAGGTGTTGCATCTGAGTTGTAGCAGGGAGCGAGCACAGCAGGAGGTGAAGGAGAAGGAGGAGGAGAAACAGCAAATGAAGGAGGGTCTGAAAGTGGCGCTGGATGAGATGATGAAGCTCAAGGTCCTCCTACAGGTACAGCACCTCCTTCTGGATACAAATGCGTACACATCTGATGAGGAGTAATGTGAAGCGAATCATGTTTTACCTCTTTGACTCCTCAATCAGGAGAGCCATGCAGAGGGGGAGCGTCTGAGGAGCACACTGGAGAAGAAAAAGAAGGAGGTAGAGAAGATCAAAGAGGACAGCCAGCATGCAGTCAGGGAGGAGGTGGAGAAACAAGGAGAAGTGGAGGAGCTGAGAGCCCGAGTCAAGAGCCTGGAGCAGAGGAGGAGGGAGCTAGTTGAGGAGCTGGAGACAGCTGAGGGGAGGAGGAGGAGTACAGTAGAAGAGCTGAAAAAGGAGCAGGAGTTGAAGCTAAAAGCTCTCCACACAGAAACCCAGACACTGAGGAGGAAACAGGAGGAGGTGGAAAAAGAGTGGAGGTCCAGAGTGGAGGAGAAAGATATAAAGTTAAATGAGGTGTGGAGGAAGGTGCAGGAGAGTCGGGATGAGCTAAGCAAGGTCAAAACTTTGTTAGAGGAGCAGAAACCTCAGATATTCTCACAGGCTGCTGAGAACAAGGAGGAGCAGGAGTACACAGAAGGACAGAGGAGGAGGCAAAAAGGAGGAGGAGAGGTAAGTGTACAATAAAACTCTTTACTCCTGATTCTCCTGAATGAATCCCTCATAGTTGTACACAAGTTTGTTTTTCTTTTTAGGAAGAGGAGGAGGTCTCTCTGCTGCAGGAGGAGAAACGGATTAGGAGGCTGCTTCAGCAGAGAGAAGCTGAGGTACTCCGACTATTCTCCTCCACCAATCAGGCGTCTCTGTGGGTTGCAAACTGAGTTGTGTCCCTCATAGTTTGTTGCTGTTGGACAGGTGTACACTCTGACTCAGAGGAACCAGGAGCTGGAGGAGGACAGGGATCGGGTCCGTCTGGCCCTGGAGCAAACGGAGGCAGCTGTGATTGGCTACAGGGAGAGAGCCCACCAACGGGAGCAGAGTCTGGAGGCAGGGGCCAACACAGATGAGGTCAGTGTGTCTCTGATTGGTCCGACTGAGTCTTTCTTTGTACACAGACCTAAGGTACCTAGAGCTCTGCCAGGAACCCAGATGGTAAAGTCAGAACAGAACAAGCTTCCTTGTTGGACTGATGGTTCCAGTCCAAGTTTAAGCCCCACCCTTTTACCTGATGCAACAGGTCACTGACCTTATTAAATTAAAAAAACACACCTTCTGTAATGTTTTTCAGGTGTGACTCTTGTTGATTCCTTTAGTTCTCACCTTGCTGCTGTTTGTTCTATGATTCATTTTCTGACCTGATGAGCCAAAGAAGCACACACCTTAACACACCATGACTGTGTGGGGTGGAGTAGGCGGGGCTTCAAGCCCACATAACCTGCGCACAGACTCTGGTTCCAAAAGTACAAGATGGTAGCTTCTGTAAACTGGATCCTGCTGGATTCAGGTCTCAACAAGAAGGGAAGCTGGGACACTTTGTCCATAAAGTCTATGATACTGCAGCAGGAAGCAGTGTGGGACGGGACATTTACATCTGATGTCCTGATTGACCTGGACTGAAATGTTTGTCCACAGGTTGTGGGGAACAGACTGATGGTTCTGCAGCGTCTTATAGCTGAACTGGAGCTGGACAAGAAACGACAGGACAAGAAGATCTCCCATCTGGAAAACCAGAAAGACAAACTGAAGAGAGGTCGAGACTCACTGAGAGACACTCTGAGACAGGTAGAGACACTCTGAGACAAGCAGAGACAATCTGAGACAAGTAAAGACAATTTGAGACAAGTAGAGACACTCTGAAACAAGTAGAGACAATCTGAGACAAGCAGAGACAATCTGAGACAAGCAGAGACAATCTGAGACAAGTAGAGACAATCTGAGACAAGTAGAGCCACTGAAACAAATGGAGACCTATTGATTTGTTTGATTTTTTTTTTTTTTTTTATGTGTGTGTCTCAGGTGGAGGAGGAGCGTTGGAGGCTCAGGGAGCAGCTCACACACATCTCACAATCTCAGGTGAGACTCACACAGGTGTGTCAGTGTGTGTTCTAGACAAGAGCACTGCTCATGGTGAGTGTGTGTGTGTGTGTGTGTGTGTGTTTAGGAGTTTACAAACACCACAGAAGAAGTGCAGCTGCGGAACCGAGTGAAGGAGCTGGAAGACGAGGTGAGAGCACCGCAGAAGAAGAGTTTCACCCTCTGAGGGTGCATTCACACCAGCCCTGTTTAGTCCGCTTTAATCGAACTCTAGCTCGTTTTCCTAGAAAGTCCGGCTCGTTTAGGGAGGTGTGAACGCGCCATCGAACTCTGTCACGGAACAAAAAGGCAAACTCTGGCCCGGGCTAAAACCTAGGTCTCGGTCCGGTAGAAGCGAACTCCAGCGCGGTTCGAGTACAGTCTGAATGTAAACAGACTGGGTCCCGCTCCGCAGGGAAAACAAACACGCATTTCTCTGACCTCATATGGAGCCGTCAGCTGACTTGTGTGAAAAACAATATTCTCCGTGGTCTTCTGTCTCATCTTCTGCTCATGCTGAGTCCATTTTTGAAAAATGACAAAATATAACTCCTAAAACTGCTAAAACTTGATGCCACTTCGTTTTTATTTTTATTTACAGAAGAAGAAGAAGATGTGTCTTCAGAGGTTTTTGTGTCGTTTCTTTCAGTAGTTCTAGGTGCAGCGCCCCCACAGGCGAGCGGGGGAACAGGTTGCTTCAACAGGTTGACTCGACTGCACAGTGCAGTGTGAATGCAAACGCGCCAGCTCAAATGTAACAAAAGGTCATGAATATTGGTCCCGAACCGAGTCTATCGGACAGTCAGGTGTGAAAACGACCTGAGTGTCCATATAGACTGATGATGTCATTCTGTCTCCTCCTCCAGCTCAGTCAGCTCCGCCTCTCATTGGCTGAGGACCAGCAGCAGAGGGCGGAGTTTATCGAGCAGTCCTCCAGAAACAGCCAATGGCTGCTGTCCCTGAGAAACGACCTCACCAATTCTCTGGCTGCTGTCACACGCCACCCCGTCCCCACCGTCCTGGAGTCTGAGACGCATCGATTGGACCGCAGCCTGAGGGAGGAGGAGCTTAGGATCTCCCTCAGCCAATCACAATGACTGACCGTTAAGACCTGAAGAGTCGGAGTCTCTGCAGCTTCTGCACTTCCTGTTTGGGTCCATTGTGTCTTTGATCTAACAGACTGTTTTTATTGATCGACCAGAGTACGACAAAATAATGCACTGTCTAAGCAAACGTTCAGGTGTGGAACCAGAACCAGGTCCAGGTTAAACACATAACAGATGAAGTCCTGATCGTCTCAGTTCTTCTGTTCTTATGACTTGGTTGTTTTTATTTTTGTTTATTTATTTTAAAAAATAGTTATATTTCTCTTGATGCTCCAGTGTGAGGCCGACTGTGGATATTTTAATAAAAAACAAAGTTTTTTTTAATGTCAGTGCTGTTTTGTTACAGGGTTGTGTTGTTGATGTGTGTCTGTCCCTCGGCTCAGTGATAATCCTCAGTTATTTTTACCCCGTGTGGACCCCCCCCCACCCCCGCCTCAGCTGTGCCGCCACCTCTCAGACCTGTTGGGGCTCCACAGTTCTAGCAGAGGACCGTTTGGATCAGCAGCACCGAGCCTCAGGTACTGTGTTTCCTGTCAGTTGAGATGTGTTTGGGTTTATTTATTATTTATTTGCTCTTCACAAACTGCATGAACCTAAAGAGTTTATTTGTATCATGAAACTTCAGGATCATTTTACTGTCCATGCAAGTAACGTCTTTTTTTATTTATTTATTTTTTTTACATCAAGTCTGTTCACAAAAGAACAAACTTTAATGCATTAACATTTGGGGTATTGATTATGTTGCTGTTGATAATGGCAGGAAACGTTGAATCAAACCCTGGGCCTGACGTAGAGTCCACTTTTGCTACACCTGCTGGTTTTAAAGAATGGCCTCTGTTTTGTTCATTTCAGTGTAAGGAGCTTATTAACAAATGGATCTGGTTCCTATTTGAGCATTATCTACTGATGCTGACGTCATCGTGTTGTCTGAAGTGACTGAAATCTGAATCTGTACACAATCGGGAGGTTTCCTTCAATGGTTACAGTATTTTTAGGACTGATAGACCAAAAGATAGACCAGTTTGGCTGCTGCAGGACGCCTTCAGCTTCCAGTGAAGCTCCCATATTTGGCGCAGCTCGTTTCTGGACTGAATGCAATCCTGAGTAATCTGAACTGGAATCAGCTGCAGCTGATTCCAGATAAATTGAAAGCTCAGTGTGATGCTTTAATTCTGTTTCGGTCAGTAGTCCTAACAAACCAAACATCAAAGCCTGAAAAATCATCACTGAGCTCATATTGACTTTTTTTCCTTCTTTTGGCTCCTCCCTTTTTCAGGAGTCGCCACAACCAAGTAACTCGCACAAAGACTTGGCAATTGTTTTTACGCCGGATGTCCTTCCTGACACAAGCACAGACGGCTGAGCTACCACAGCCCTCTGTGTGGAGCAGAGAGCTGCCATCTAGATCACTGGCCCGCCGTTAACCTCTGCACCACCACTCCCCCATAGCTCATATTGACACATGTTCCCCATAAACAGTGGTGGGATGTAACAAAGTACAAGTACTTAAATACATTTTTCATGTGACTAACGTGAGCACTTTCAACTTTTACTCTACTACATTTTACATTAAGTATCTGTACTCTACTACACTACATTTCTATAATGCGTTGCGTTACAAGTTACATTCACTTTGCAGTTTTATTAATTTGTTCGTTAGTTTGAAAGTAACTAACGGTGAGAGGGGAGTTGGTCCATTGAATCACTGCAAAGTGGGCAGGTAACGTTAGACCCACCTTCAAGAAGAACTGGGCCAATGACGTATATTCTAGTATTTACGTTATTGATCTGGGTGCACCCACAGCACCACTAACACCCAAAATGGATTCCACCGCAGAGAGTCAGCCAGAAGATACTCACCACCCATGACCTTATTGAAAGATTATTGAAAGATTGTTGAAAGACTGTTCAGTGCAGCAGGACAGATTCTCTCCCTAAAGAGCCAGACTGGACTTAAAAAACTTTGAAAACCAACTTCTTCTGAACTTGAACAAGAAATTCTTGCTGCAATATTAAAATGTGTCAGTTCATGGGATGTTAGGAGACAAGAGATGTCTCGACACTCGGGTCCAAGTTTTGAAAATGGTGTCAGGAAGTTAAAATATTGTTCTCTATTGACCCAGAACAAGTTTGACTAGACAGTATTTTAACTAGAATTGATGACAAACTGGAGTTGAACTGATCAGAGCCTGTTCCTTTGTGTCTAATGCTTCTTTTTTCATCAGACAACTTTTACTTAAACGTGTTTACTGCAGTTAAAATGACACATTATTGGTTTTGATTTGTGTTAAACAAAAACTTTCAAAGGTATAATCCTCTTTCTTATTTTACTTAATGGCATTTAACTCGTCCCTGAAATTCTGACGCACAGAATCACAAGTCCAAGTGTGAACTGTGTCACAGAGTAAACACAATAAAAACATTAAAATGACACAACACTATTAATGTATTACAGAAAATATACAAACAGGCACACTTAATGATAGACCATTGTATTAGGTAATACATTCAGCAAGTACTTTTACTTTTAATACTTTCAAGTATTTTTAAAGGCAAGTACTTTTACTCAAGTAAAAACGTTAATGAGGTACTTTTACTAGAGTATATTTTTGTTTGTTTATTTGTACTTTTACTTAAGAATAGTGTTTGAGTACTTTCTCCACCACTGCCCATATATATACTGTATTTCTGCTGCAGAGTTTAATGACCTCAGTGATCACCGTGTCATCGCTGCAGTGAGAAACACTGCAACACCTAAATCTCAACCCGTGAAACATTTCTCCGAACAAGGTTTCATTCATGATCCAGGTCATCTGAGTTGGGACAGAACTTATGCAATCCCCGATACTGAACATGCTTGGAACTTCTTTCATAGTATCTTCATTAAAATAGTAAATAAACATGCTTCATTGATAACATTTAGGATAAGAGGTAGAAAAAATGCTTGGGTTTTTTCCTGAACTCTCCAATCTGCTTCAAGAGCGTAATTTACTATAGCAAGGGTGAAATTGGATCAGACTCTGGCTCAGTTTCAGGAGACTCCGTAATGCTTCAACAGTTGCTATAAGGAAACAAAAGCCCAATATTTTTTGTCCAAAGTTTCAAGAAACCCAAACAATCCACAGAAGTTCTGGAAGATCATCAAATTCTTAAAAGGAGATATGTTACTTAGAGCTCCAATTGCTTTCTGAAGGACTCAAGTTTTCTCCGACTGCCTGAGATGCTCGATTGCTTTAGGAGGCATTTTATTGCTTCAAGTTTTATTTTTGATTTTCTTAGTACTCCATAGAATTCATCCTGACAACCTTTTCATTTTTCCCTTTTAACATTTTCAAGGATACATAATAAATAATTAAACGTTTGAACTCAAAAAATTAGCAGGTCCAGATAAACTGGAAGCATTTTACTTTAAACAAGCAGTTGATTTTATTTAGTCTCCTCTGACATATATTTTTAATTTATCCCTCAGTTCAGTCCCTCTCTAAAGGTGTGGACTCGACCAATCTGAGTAACTGCAGGTCCATCTCCAAGCTGTCTGCATTGACCAAGGTTCTGGAGGCCTTGGTGAACAAGTGAAGGACTTTAACCTTTAATAGTATTTTAACTGGATTACAGTCTGGTTTTAGATGAATGCACAGTACTACTAGAGCAACTTTAAAAGTAATACAGTAAAGGATTTTATCGGTTCTTTAAATAAAAAGCAACACTTTGCACTGGTTTTATTCGTTTATCAAAGGCCTTTGATACAGCGACCATGACATTTTGTTGAAGAGGCTCTTTGACTTTGGACTTTCTCAGAAGCAGTTGAGTGGTTTAAGAATGACTTGTTTTTCAGGTCACAGTGTGTGTAGGTGGAAGGTCTTTCTGACACTAGTCTTCTGGTATCCAAGGGTGCTCCACAAGGCTCTGTCATAGGTCCTCTTCTTTTTATAATCTATATTAACAATTTAGATAGAAATGTGTAGTAATGCATATGGTGGCTCAGTTGGTTGAGCTGTTGTCTCTCAGTGAGAAGGTCGCCGGTTCAAATCCCGGCCCAGGACCTTTCTGGGTGGAGTTTGCGTGTTCTCTGTGTGCATGTGTGGGTTTTCTCCAGGTACTTCAGCTTCCTCCCACAGACCACAAACATGCATGTTAGACTGATTAGTAACTAAATTGTCTGTAAACTGAGCAGAACTGTAGAACATTTTGATGCTAACACTTAGTCTCTGTGTTCTGTAGGAGGTTCCACCATCCGAGTTCAGGGAACCAGCAGCTGTCGGTGAAGGTTTGGACTGGTCGATGGTGGGACAAAGAAGCAACAGAATCAGAACCGTAAAGAGATCCAATCGGCTCCTTCTCCCAGAAACAGGATCTCCTGTTTAATTTTTCCCTCATCATGACCGGAATCACAGAAGGGACTGAATTAACATGTGGACCCCAGATTAAGGAGACCAGAACCAGAGAGCTGAAACCGATTGGGTCCTACTCCACCCTGAGCACCATCGCCATCCAGACCAGCCGGACCCAGATCGTAATCTCCGTTCTGCAGGTACCAGAACCCAACAAGGTTCTCCAGACTGAAATGGGTTAAATGTTGAGGGGAACCAAAACTCCATCAGAACCTCCTCTGTAACAATCTGAGCTATGACAGAGCCAGACTCTTATTTTGAAGAAAATATGAGCTTTATTTTGAAACTTTTTCCTGTTTGCTGTTTCTGGTTTTGGACTTTAGGTTCTGAAACCTGCAGAATCTTTATAAGTTATAAACAGAACCGTGACGGATCAATAGAACAAAGAAAAACCTACTCCACCGACCCAGAACCTGCTGAGTCACTGATCGCCATGGTGATTCCCTCCTTTTTAAAAGAACAAAAAGGGAAGGGACTTGGTGAAAACAAACTCGTACTCCTTCTGCTGCAGGACTAGAAATCTGTGTCCCTGTTCCAGACCCAGTTTGATGGAGCTAATGTCGTGTTTGAAGCTGATGGAGGAGAGTTCTTTAAATATAAAATATTAAAACTTCTGCTGTTATTTTGAACTGCAGGTGGAGAACCAGACATTGAACCTTTTAGAACCAGTTTGACCAGAGATTTAAAGAAACTTAACCCCGCTGCTATACTGATTCCTTTGATCTCTAAATTCAAAACATGTAAATCATTTCAGTTTATCTGTATAGCGCTAAGTCACAACAGAAGTTGTCTCAGGGTAATGTTCAAAAATATTCACGTACAAAAAAACAAACAAAAAAACAATTGGATAAAGTTCTCTATGTAAGGAAATCAGCAGATTTCATTTAATCTTCATTTCGTCACAGTCTCCCATCTTAAGCAAGCACAGTGGCAACAGTGGAAAGGAAAAACTCCCTTTTAACAGGAAGAAACCTCCAGCAGAACCAGGCTCAGGACGAGCGGCCATCTGCTTCAAGTGGCTGGGTTTGAGAAAACTGGATGGAGAAACAAACAAACACAGAATGGCAGGTCCAGGTGTACTTTCTATAGGAAGAAAGAAAAAAAAAAGCATATTAAGATATAAATAATTACAAATATAAAATATGCATTTGTATTCATTTGTAATTATTCATTTGAGGATAGGTGATCAATTTGTCCTCCAGTAGTCTAAGCCTATAGCATTATAACTAAGGGATAGCTCAGGAAACCAAGCCAACACTAACTATAGGATAAAGGATTTATCAAAACTTAAACCTAATCTTAAAAGTAGACAAGGTGTCAGTCGCATGGACAGAAACTGGAAGTTGGTTCCACAAGAGAGGAGCCTGATAACTGAAAGATCTGCCTCCCATTCTGCTTTTGGAAACTCGAACCACAAGTAAACCTGCAGTCTGAAAGCAAAGTGGTCTTTTAGGAAAATATGGAACAGTAAGATCTGTAATATAAGATGGAGCTAGGTTGTTGAGAGCTTTGTAGGTTAGAAGTAAGATTTTGAATTTAATTCTGGACTTGACAAGGAGCCAATGGAGAGAAGCTAAAACTGGAGAGATATGATCTCTCCCAGTAACTCCAGTTAACTCTGGCAGCAGCATTTTGGATCAACTGAAGACTTTTTAAAGAAGTTTTGGACACACAGATAATAAACCATTGCAATAGTCAAGTCTAGATGTGACAAATGCATGGACCAGTTTTTCTGCATCATTTTTAGACTAAATGTTTCTATTTCAGCAATATTGAGCAGGTGGAGGAAAACTGTTCTGGTAACATTTTTAATGTGGGTGCTAAAAGACATCCTGATTTAAAAAAAATAACACCAAGGTTTTTAACTTTAGAACTGGAAGCCAAATTAATCAAGGTTCAAAGTTCTTTATTGTCATTCACATCACATGTGGTACATGTGAGAAAAAAATAATACATGAGGCAGAATGAAATTATTTACCCAGTTATACCCAAAAATAGCAAAATAAGAATATAAAGCATAAAGAAACAGTGTACAAAGATCTAAGATATACACTAAACACCAATAATATAAAATAATATGGTCTATTAAGCAACAACCTGAACATGCTATGCAGAGAAAGTAAAAGACTGCAAAACATATTCCTAAAATGCTCAGGTTAAAAAATAAAATAAAAAAAACCCCTCTGTCTTGTCTGAGTTTAAAAGCAGAAAACTAGGGATCATCCAGGTTTTTATGTCTTTAAGACATGCTTGTAATCTAAGTAGCTGATTGGATTCATTGGGTTTCATGGACAAATATAATTGTGTTGTGAGCATAACAATGAAAATTTATCCCATGCTGTTTAATAACTTTACCTAATGGAAACATATATAAAGTAAAGAGTATTTGTCCAAGCACTGAACCCTGAGGAACTCCATGACTAACTTTCGTGTATGAAGAAGATTCATTATTTACATTTACAAACTAGAATCTATCAGACAAATATGATTCAAACCATTTCTGTTCCTGTAATCCCAGTTTCATATTCAAGCCTCTGTAGTAAAATATTGTGATCAAATGCAGCACTGAGGTCCAACAGGACCAGTATAGGCTCAAGTCCCTTGTGTGAAGCCATGAGAATATCATTAGTAAATTTCACCAGTGCTGTTTCAGTGCTATGGTGAGCTCTAAACCCTCACTGAAACTCCTGTTTATTTCTTTGCAGATGTTCACGCAACTGACCTGCAACTATTTTCTCTAGAATTTTTAAGATGAATGTTAGATTAGATATAGGTCTATAAATGGCCAGAATTCTTGAATCAAGGTTTAATTACAGCAACCTTAAAATGCTGTAGAAACCATTCATTTAGAGACAAATTAAGCAGATTCAAAATGTGTGTATTAATTAGAGGAAATATCAGTCTGGTTGGGATGGGATCTAGCAGATGTGTGGATGGTTTGGATGAAGCTATTATTTTAGACAATTCAGAGACCTGACCAGGACAAAAACAATCCAAACATATGGTAATTCAGATTCTAGTGAGATTTATAAAGCTGCCTCATCTGACAGGGAACCAGAGGCAATAGTAAGAAGGATGGTTTGAATTATCTCTCTAATTGAATAATTTTATTCATGAAGAATCTCATGAAGTCATTACTGCTTATAGCTGAAGGGATACATGGCTCAGCAGAGATGGGACTTTTCATTAGTCCAGCTATGGTACTGAACAGAAACCTGGGGTTATTTTTATTCTCATCTATTAAAGATAAATAATATACAGTTCTAGCTTTACGGAGAGCTTTCTTATATGTTAGCAGGCTATCTCTCCAAGTTAAATAAAAGTCAGATCAGATTAAAATTTTTAAATGAGTATTTTTCTGACAGGCGAGTTGAACTGAGAGCTGCTGGAGGTCATCCAGTCTGTCAAAGAGATGTTCCTCTTTTAGCTCCAACTATTTACTGATGCCCGGCTCTGTGTGTGTGTTATCAGGCGTCACCTCGTGTCTTTTTACGGTCAACATGCCTCAGATACCGGATCATCCAGAGGGACGCTCCAACACAAGCACACAGTTTGTTCTGGTAGAAAACAGCTGAGGAAAAACA